GGGAATCAGCAGGTGGCATAGTGGTTAAGGTGCTGGACACTCCCACATGGCTGACCATGGTACGAGTCTCAGATCTGGTGGCTTGCTTTCTCATTTCTCCTTTTTTTCTCTCTCTGTATCTCTGGTCAAATTAAAATAAATAAATGAATAAATAAAATTAAATAAATAATTCTTTTTTTAAAAAAAGTACATGAGACAGGTCCAGCTGCTGTGGCCTAGCCACTGTGGTATGGTGACAATGTAAATGCCCTGCAAGACTAGGCACTATATAGCTGACTACAGGCTTAGATTCCTGAGTCAGCCTGAAATCATGCTAAGTGTATAGTCAGTACTTAGGATCCTAAGGAGCTGGCTGGGGAAAGGGAATCATAATATGACAAGACCTTGTTGAGGATTCTTCTCTCTCTCTCTCTCTCTCATGTCCACATACACTATCATTAAAGAAAAAAGTACATGAAGCAGACAGTGATAAAGCTGAAAGGATAACGGGTCAAAAACACAGCCACAGTTGGTTCTTTCAACAACCCACTTTCGGCAATTGGAAGAATGACTAGACAGGAAATAAGTAAGCATCTAGAAGAAGTGAACAACACCATTAACCAATGGGATCTAACTGGCATTCATAGAACAACGTTTTACCCAACAAGAGACTACACATTCTTTTTAGTCACCAATAGGGCATTTCACCACAACAGATCTTGGGCTACAAAACAAATATTAACAATTATAAAAGGACTAAAATCATCCAATATATATTTTTGGCCATAATGAAATGACATTAGAGATCAGTTAGAGAAAATCTCTATACACCTGAAAATTAAAAAATATCCTTCTAAATAATACATGGGTCAAAGAAGTCTCAGAGAAAATTTTAAAAGTCCACAGAGCTGAATGGAAATATCAGTTTGTGATATGCAATTAAAACAGTGGTGAGAGGCAAACTTAGAGCACTAGCTATTTACATTTTTAGGAAAAAAAGGGAAATATGAAGTAAAAAGTCTAAATCCATACCTCAAGAAACCAGAAAACTAAAAATAAACTCAAAGCAAATGATAAATATTAAAGATTAGAGCATAAATCAATGGAACTGAAAATTCTAAAAACTCAACATAATAATAATCAAATAAACCAAATAATCCAATCAGAAAACCAGCAAAGGACCCTTTACTGAAGAGTATATACAGATGGCACTAAGCACATAAAGAAATATTTAACTCAATTAGCTATCAGAGAAATGTGAATTAAAGTCCCAATGGAACTATCACTACATATGTATCAGACTAGTTATAATAATAAAAAAAAATAGTAATAAGACTAATGTTTGGTAAGAATATGGAGAAACAAAATCATTCATTCATTGGTGATATGACTGTGAAATGGTACAGTCACTCTGAAAGAGTTTTAAACTAAAAATGGGCTTACCATATGACCCTAAAATTATACTGTCTTGGGCATTTATTCAGAGAAATGTAAACTTAATTTCATGCAGAAACCATGAATATTCACAGTGGTACTATCTGTAACAGCCAAATAGTAGAAAACTACCCAAATGTCTTTCAGTGGTGAATGATTATACATAATGTGATACATTCAAACCACAAAATTTTCAGCAATGAAAAGGAACAAACAGATACATACTGCATAATTTCATTTATGAAAAACACCAAAATTATAGAAAAGGAAAACAAGTTAGCTGTTACCAGAGTGAGGGGAGGGGACTAGGGAGCAGGTATAAGTAAAAGTTAGCATGAGGAAGCCTAATGTTGGTGATATAGTTAAGTAGCTTGATCATGGTGATGATTACCAGTGGTGGTGGCAGCTACACATATGATAAAGTTGCATAGGCACATATAGACACAGAAATGAAGGCATGTATGATTGGTGAAATCTGAATAGAGACATGTCTTTTTGTTTTTAAGAAGTATTTTATTTAACTTTCTTTCTTTCTTTATTTTAATTTTTTGACCAGAGAGGGATAAAGCGAGCGGTGTGTGTGTGTGTGTGTGTGTGTGAGAGAGAGAAAGAGAGAGAGAGAGAGAGAAGAGGAGAGAAAGTAAGCCGTCAGATCTGGGACTTGGTCTAACATCCTTAACCACCATGCCACCTTCTGGCCCTTAGGCATACCTTTTTTATTGTGCTTTGCTCTACTGTACTTTGCGATATTGTGTTTTTTACAAATTGAAGGTTTGGACAACCTTGCATTGATCAAGTCTATTGGAGCCATTTTTCCAACAGCATATACTTACTTCATGTCTCTGCTACATTTTAATAATTCTCATGATATTTCAAATCTTTTCGTTATCCTTGTTTTTGTTATGGTGAGCTGTGATCAACAATTTTTGCTGTCATTCATTATTGTACCTCTTTTGAGGTACCATAAACATTACCCATATAAGGTAGTGAACTTAATCAATAAATGCTCTGTTTATTCTGATTGCTCTACTGACCAATTGCTTCCCTGTTTCTTCCCCTCTCCTTCGACCTTTCTGTTCTCTGAGACAGAACAATATTGAAATTAGCCCTATCATGGCCTCTAAGTCTTCAGGTGAAAAGAAGCGTTATATATCTTTTACTTTAAATCAAAAGCTAGAAATTAATAAACTCAGTGAGGAAAACAAGTAACATGAGCCAAGATAAACCAAAGGTTAGGCTTCCTCTGCCAGTTAGCAAAATTGTGAATGTAAAGAAAAAGTTCTTGAAGGAAACTAAAAGTGCTACTCCAGTGAATACACAAATGAAATAAAACGGTGAAACAGGTGAGTTTGCAACCTTGAAACATGCCAGGTGTGTGCACATACCCAATTCTGATGAACTGGAAGGCTGGGGACGGGAATTGTGGTGTGGTGGAACCCTGTTGACAGCGCCTTTCTTTCTGCCCCCTACTTCCCTCTCTCCCTCATGCACAAACATGTCCTATCATTAATAAAAATAAATAAACTTTAAAAAATACAGTAAATTGGCCTTATTGACAATATGGAGAAAGTTTTAGTGGTCTGGATAGAAGATCAAACCAACCACGACATTTCCTTAAATCAAAGCCTAATCCAGAGCAAAGCCCTAACTCTCTTTAATTCTATGCAGAATTAAAGTCTGAAACTAGAAGGGGTTTAGTTCCTGAGGTTTAAGAAAAAATTCCATCTCCAGAACAAAAAAGTGCAAGGTGAAGCAGCAAGTGCTGATTTAGAAGCTGTAGCAAGTTATGCAGATCTAGTTAAAATCACTGATGAAAGTGGCTACATTAAGCACCAGATTTTTCAGTACAGAAGAAACAGACTTACCTTTGAAGAAGAGGCCATCTAGGACTTTCATAGCTAGAGGCTTCAGAGTTTCAAAGGACATGCTGAATCTCTTAATGCAGTTGGTGACTTTAAGTTGAAGTCAATGCTCATTTACCATTCTGAAAATCCTAGGTCCCTTAAGAATTACGCTAAATCTACTCTGCTTGTGTTCTATAAATGGAACAACAAAGTCTGAATGACAGTGTATCTGTTTACAGCATGGTTGTCTGAATATTTTAAGCCCACTGTGAAGACTCAGAGCTCAGAAAAAAAATAAATCCTTTCAAAATATGACAGAACATTGGCAATATACCTGATCACCCATGACTTGTAGAGATATGCAAGATTAATGTTGTTTTCATGCCTGCTAACACAATATCCATTCTGTGGCCCAAAGATCAAGGAGTAATTTCAACTTGTAAGTCTTATTATTTAAGAAACCCATTTGGTAAGGCTGTATCTGCCATAAATACTCATTCCTCTTATAGGTCTGGACAAAGAAAACTGAAAATCTTTGGAGAGGATTCACTATTCTAGATGCATTAAAAATATTTGTGGATATTTGTGGGACCAGGAAGCAGTGCAACAGTAAAGCAATGGACCTGTATGGGGACAGTCCAAGGTTTACATCCCTAAGTCTACTAGGTGCCTGCATGCATGCCCATGATCCAGGATGGCAGAGATCATGGCATACGGACTCTGTTGAAAATGCCTGGTTCTCTGTCTCTTTCTGTCTCTCTGATGAAAAAAGTAAAAGAATAAACTTAAAAAATTTGAAGGGCCACCTAGTAGCATGGTTAAGTCAGTTGGATCCTAAATGGTCAAATATGTGGTTCAAATCCTGGACCCAGTGACTTGAAAAACATGCCAGACGTGTGTGTATGTACCCAAAATCCCAAGAGGAGAATGTGGTGTGGCCATATTATATTAGCACTAAGGCTAAACATGTTTAAAGTCTCGGACCAGCCTGGTGGTATAGTCAGTAGTGAAATGAACTGCAAGCCTAGAAGTCATATGGCCCACTACAGGTTCAGATCCTTGGGTTAGCCTGAAAATGTGCCAGGCACACACATGTGCCCACCATCCTGATAAGCTGGAGGGCTGGCAGCATTGCCAGATCCTATTAAGGGCCCATCTCTCTCTCTTTCTCTCTCTCTCTCATCCATACACATACTTTCTATCAAAAATAAGTAAAAAACTGTGAAGAGGTTTAAGTCTCATTTTACAGAGAAAGGACTCTGATTTGTTGACACAGTCACCTCAGCTGTTCTGGATAGACTTTCTTGCTCATTTTCATTTTTATGCCTTTAATGACCTATCATTAATTAAGTTAGTTATGTGCTATGGTAATTACAGAATCCTTTTAAAGGATTATTTTACTGAAAAAGATGAAAATTGAAAAAAGGTGACTATTTGGTGAACAGTCCTATCTCTAATAGTCAGTCAAAGTAAACAGTGGCCTCTCACAACTAGAAAACCCTGAGCATGACATATTTTTCCCCCCGGTAAAACCCATACTCACTGCCTAATGAAGGAAACTTCCCGTGTTTACATGGATTTCTGTACGAGCTTATTTCACTTGAGCATGCACAGCTCTAGCATCTCAGTATAGGATGAAGTTTAAGAAAAAGCCCTATATTGTCTTCATTATTTCAGATATGTTGACACTGATCTGTGCAGAGGTTTATCTGTCCCTGGGCAGGAAACACAGCCCTGACCTACCTCATTAACTTGTTCTTCCAATGTGACTTCCGGTGAAAAAGCATGAAAATTCCGTAGCAGTTAAGACTGACTTGGCGCCTCCTTCCCAACACTTTCCATCTAGTGGGGCCTCTTGATAGGGTTAGCACTTTAGAGTTTACATCATTTCATCTGATCTTGAATACAGCTTATGAAGTAAGTAACACCAGTCAAGGTCAGGGCTTGTTCCAATATACCAAACAGGTCCATCCTGTGTGAATTTAACCTACATAAATGCAACCACACACACTCAAAATAACTGAATAAAGACTAAGCATTTGTTTTTTTTCCTTTTACTTTTTGCTAGAGGGCGTGTGAACTCTCCAGAGAGATACAGAGAGAGAGAGGAAGAGAAAGTGAGAAATCACCCCCAAGGTGATTATCCCCAGGGGGAATGACCATGCTATAATCCCTTCTCTTCCATTCCACCCTGCTGATTTTGGGCGCACATGCACACATGCCTGGCATGCTTTCCAAGCCACCAGGTCCGGGACTCGAATCATACAGTTGGTCATGTGCAATCCAGCTGCCCTAATCAACACACCACTGGATGGCCCTGAGACTAATCATTTACAAAGTGTCATGAGATACAATTTGCACGTATATTTCATTATCATAGACTATACCTTAATCCGTTACACATTCATGTGACTAAACATATTTATATTAAGAAATCCATATATAGGATAAGATCCCTTAAGAGGATACCTTAGCGGGTCTTAAGGATAATTGTAACTACTAGGATTTTAGACTTATGAGCTTAATTTAAGGGGTATACAACCCTTGTATAAAATGTGGCTCCAGTATTCCAAAACAATTCAGTAATACAAAGTAACAGAAAACAATCTAACTGTAAGAAACCAGTCTAAAACCCTTTTCTAAGAAAAGGATGCCTGATATCATCTTCTTACTTCTCTTAATTAAAAAAGTAATATGTTCATTGTAGAACATTTAAAAAGAAAAAAAAAATCCATAAAGTTAACCTATTTCTATACTGGATTTTTTAAATTATCACAGGTTTGCTTTCTTAAACATATAACATGAAATGGTAGGAAAACCTACTCCAAGGAAATTAGTGAATGTTTAGGCTTATAACCCACATGAATAAAAGGATTTTTAGTCTTCTCTGCAGGGCTCAATTACATAGGTCTGTTCTAAAGCATTAAAATTGGGTTTTTCTAAATTTGGTTTATGGACATCTTTTCAGGAATGTTTATACATCCAGCGAAGCACACCTGGCCCCTGGCTATATTTTATTTGTGTACTTTAAAAAGTGCCAAGGAAATTCCATGGCCTGCCACCTGACAGATGCATGCTACTTCTGCCTCTCCTTTGGGTTAGCTTTTCATCAAATGGTTTTCTATTGCTCTGACCCTTGGGTTTCATCCAGACCTCTCAATTTTCCACAATGCTTTGTGGTTTTAATTTCCACTAACACTTTTTGGTTGTAACTCTACTAACCTTGGGTCATACTGACGCTGACCCTGGCCTCTAAGCCAACAGTCATTGTGGATTTTATAAAGATGGGTGAGATGTTTGTTACTAAAGAGAGAACATGCTTCAGATCTTTTGGTGCTGCCCTGACTTCATACAATTACTCCTTTTTGATAAAGACAGCTCTTTAGACAAATAACAAAAATTGATTTAATTTTTATGATTTCTCTAAAACTTACAGTTTTCAAAATCAGAAACAAATTTAGACCACATATTCCAATTTTCAGCTAGCAAAATATTACTGAACATGTACTTTATTCATTCAGTCTCTCTATTCCAATGGTTCTTAGCCTAAGGCTGAAAAAACATCTGGGGTTTATGGATAGGTTTTAGGGTTCACAAAGAATTCTGCTCAGCAAAACCCGCACTGTTCTCTTACTCCTAGACTCACAGTGTTAGGCTTTATTTACCAGCTTCCCCTGCAGTTAGGTGTGGCCATGAGTTCTAGCTGAGGAATGTGAGTAGGAGTGATGTTAGCTACCACCAGACCTGGCTCATAAAAAATTTCCTATGTGTACTCCTCCATGTTTTTCCCTTTAAACCATTTGCATGTCAGTAGATAAGTAATATGGGATATTTTTACATTTAGTAATACTAAGGCTAGCAGCAAATACTAATACAGCACTTTGCACCCGTCCCTGGTTTAAGAGCTATACATTAGCTCATTTTGACAGTCCTTTGAGGCAGATGCCCATTTTCTCAGATGAGGAAACTGAAGTGCAGGGAAGTGAACTAATTTCCACAAGACTACACAGCTAACAAGTGGCAGGGCTGGGATCAGTGCCCTGTCGATCTCTTCCAGAGTCTGTACTCTGTGCTTACAATCTCCATTACATTTCTGCTGCTTTCAGTGGGAGTATGGGTTTTGTATTTTGTGATTATGCCACATCAGCCTAAATATACATTTAGTCAGAAAGTCTTGGCTAGATAAGAATCTCATCTTCAGCTTTCTAAGGAGTTTGGTTGGGTTAGTATTTTTTTTTTCTTTCAAAGTTGGCTAATTATATTTTTCATAAAAAATTATATTATTTTTGATGAGAGGGTGAGAGGGCATTCCAGACAGGGTCTCATCACACTGCTGCAATCCCTTTCCTCCAGCCCTCCAGCTTGCATTTCAGGTTGACTTGGGATACAAGCTGTGGTTGGCTATGTGGCTTCCAGCACAGCAGATCAGTACACCAGCCTACACCAAAGCATCTGGACAAGGCCAATTTCTTACAAATCCATTCTATATAGCTGGTAGAATAGCTTTCTTGAGTTTGACATTCAGAGCCTCATTTAAGCATCCATAGTTGTTCTTTATTAGCAGTTTTACCCACTAATATTTAGGGGCAATCAGGGACAGAGAGAGAAGTAAACAGGGTAATTGAAATGCATTCTGTAGTTTCTTTCTCTCAAGGCCAGAGGAACTAGGAAGGAACTGGCTTCTCTCTAGGCTCAAGGCTTGCTTAGTGCTGATAAGGACACAGGCTGAAGGGCAGACATGGGCAGCTTTTTAAGCATTCCAAAGCAGATAAGCTTGAGGTAGGGATGCTCCTGGAAATTCCACAGTGAAATGTATAAAATGACTCCATCTTGGTGTGTAGTCCTTGAAGTGTAGTCCTGATGAATGAAGTGCTGGCCAAAAGTTTGCCTGAGGTCTCAGTTTTCAAAATCTCTGCCTGGGAGGGAGGTTCCAAGATATCTATCAAGCTGTGTGGTCTTTTTACTTACCTTCTTCATATGGTCTTTAGTATTTAGTCAGACAGTATTTTTCTGGATCTCTGTCTCAACTTTCAACTCATGTTTAACATTTTTAACTAATTTCTCCTGCCATCAATCTAAATTATTTCATAGGAATAATCTTAGGTTAGATGGAGAAATAAGAACGTAAAACATTTCTCTATTAGGTCATTGGGAAAGTCATGACGTATTTTTCTATGTTTTCTATGCAAAAATGCATCATGACTTTCCTGATGACACAATAATATATAAAAGTAACTATTTTATTATTATAACACCATTATTTTCATACATAATGATCCATACTCATAAACAATATTTTCACATCATTCTTGAACTGGAAATGAAGTAATTAAAAAGCATGTGGGTAAAAAACAAAATTTTAATACACTCCAGTACAACTCTACTTTAACAACTCAAAGGCCATTGAGCTTTACCTATCAAAGGAAATGAGTAAGATATTTAAGGCCAAATCTTGAGACTATTAATAAACAATTTTACTGGATAATTCATAAAACTCCTAATTAGTGGCAGCCTATTTTCCCACCCTTGGCCTGGGAAATATTTACAGAGGAATTCTTCAGGCCAAGAATCTATCCTTAAGCCTTTTTCCCCCACACAGGTGAAAGGTATAAATTCATGTTTGGCAGGGACATTATAAATAATATAGTTGCCCTATTAAAAAATAAATAAGAAAATACTGATTAAAATGTCAACTCAGCAAAGCAAGTCTGCCTTTGGTATCTTGGAATACTTTAGATCTCAAAATCTTCTGAATGCCTTTCTGGACCCTTCTAAAATATGTAGAGATTTCCGTCCCTGGTTTTTAAGTCGTTGCATGTGTTACTGGGAATTGGAAGAGCTTTTCCATGGCTCCTTCCTTCATCACACTGAGTTTCTAGTGGGTTGGGACTAAGCCATATTTCTTCTGGCCTTTAACAAAAAACAAAAAGAAAAAAGAGAGTCCACATGTCTTAGGACACAGTGAGTTCTTTGAAACCAAATGGGAGCAGAATTACTGCCCAATCTTCTAAGTGTGTCATGGATTGATGAATCAACATTTCAAAAGTGCTTAAAAGCTCTTAGATGAAAGACCACAGATCTGTATAAAGTATTATCATTATAAAAATAACTCAATTTCCTTGAGGCCTTTTTCGTTTGTTTGTTTTATTGAAGAGTGTTTTGTGGTTGCTATTTGTAACCAGTTTTTTCTTTCTCTTTTCAAAGTTTATTATTTATTTCTTTCAAGAGAAACAGAGAGAGACAGTGAGACAGCCAGACATCCTTGACAGGGTCTTGCCATGCCACAATCCTCCCCCAAGCCTCCCAGACAGTCAGGATACAGGTATGCAGTTGGAATGTTCCAAGTCAGCCTTAGGTCTGAACCCATGCTTCCCAAGTGGCCCAATATAAGCACAGCAATACCCTACCTACTGCCTGTGCCAACACAGCGAGGCCTCAAGTTGTTCTTTAAAAAATAATAAAAACCTCCAAAAGTGGGATATCCCCCACCTCTCTGTTTTTAATTTATTTGCCAGAAGGGACGTGGGCCTGTCAAAGAGAGAGAGAGAAAGGAGAGGAAGAAAGCACCCCCAACAGGGCACAGCCAGGCAATAATCCTTTCTCTTCCATCCTTCCCTCCTTTGGCGATTTTGGGCATGCATACACATGCAATAGTGTGTCTTTCGAGCTAACAGGCCAGGACTTGGACTACTGAGTTGGCCATGTGGAATCCTGCTGCCTTAACGAATGGGCCATGGAGCTAGCCAAAGGGATATTCTTATATTGGGTTGTCAAGAAAGTCATGACCCA